CAGATTCATCCTGGAAAGGGTTAAACCGGGTGGCTCCTTGGAGGCAAGGATTCTGAGGCTCTGTCTAACATACTTTGAACATCTTGTAAGGAGAGACTGGTCCTTGGAGAAGGACATAATGCTTGGGAGGGTGGAGGGACAGCACAGGAGGGGAAGGCCCTCTATGAGGTGGATTGATCCAGTGACTGGGGCAGAGATGGGAGTGTCAGAGACAGTGCGATTGGCACAGGACAAAGCAGAGTTTAGTGCTGTCGTACATAGGGTCACTATGAGTCACAAGCGACTTGATGGCACATGACAACAACAACATTTGCAATGAATAGATAATTGATTGTACAGAATTCTATCGTTTTATCTCCAGCTTCATATCTGTCACCGAGTACATGTTTTCCAACTACTGATCATTCTTCTATGTTCCAAACTTTTGCATTCCAGTCACCCATTATTATTAATGCTCTTGATTGCATGTTTAATTGATTTCTGACTACAAAAGTTGGAAGAAATCTTCTATTTCCTCCTCTTTGCCTCTAGTTGTTGGTGCATATATTTGAATGGTAGTGGTATTTATTCAATATTGTATATTGTGTGGGTATGGATATTATCCTGTCACTCACCACACTGTATTTCAAGATGGGTCTAGAAAGGACTTTTTTAAACTGTGAAAACCACCCCATTTTTTCTCACCTTTTCATCTCTGACATCGTAGATCATAAGATCATCTGATTCAAAATGTCCCATGCCAATCCATCTCATTTCACCAATACCTAGTATGTCAGTATTTATGCATTTCATTTCTTTCTTAACAGTGTCCAGTTTTCCTTCATTCATGCTTCTCACATTCCACGTTTCCATCACTAGTGTTTGCTTACAGCTGTTCCTTCTTCTTTGTGTTTCCATACTTGAGGAACAGGCCTTCAAAAACCCTATGTACTAAAAAAAACCCTATGTACTATAGAACACACTTAGACTAGCAGATGCAGCAACTGAAGCTGAGCCCTCAATTATGGAAATACATTTACTCACTTTTTTGTTTTGTTTTGTTTTCCACCTCAGTCTTTTAATTTTAATAATTTTAATGAACATTTACAGAGATTTTGGATTTCCATTCATTCATTGTTGCACTTTTCTCCCTGCTCAGCCCTCCCTCCATGCCCCCCCCAACCCTCAGTTCACTCCTCTCTTTGAAAAGTAAAAGAAAAATTCTTTCTTTGTTATACAATCCCCCCACATCCTCCCACCGCCCCAAGTACGCTCCACTATGCAACCTTAATTGTGGACTCTTGTGATGACCATAATTCCCTATCATATGTCGCTTTTAAATTATTCTCTCCCTCATCTGTTTCAGTGCAGTATAAACAATTTATCCAGTTTTTCTCAGT